TGTTTTAATTCATTCTAGTATGATGAATTTGAAGCCCAAGCAAAATCAAATGCCATATAAACTACTATTCACATGCAAGGTATATAGAATTGGAATTAAAAATAAAAACAGAAAGTGTTAAATTGGTCTTGGAATTCTCCTTGGAGTTCTCGGAGTTTAAAAAAGCTCTGAATTCCTTCCACAGAGGGAAAAGATACATAATAATGTAAAATATCATGTAAAATCTGAGATCTTATAAATCTCTAAAGCTTATCCATGAATTCCTGAATATGCAAAAACCAGAATAAGACTCAATCCTATGTAATTGTTTTATTTTAATCAAGTCTTAAAGAAAATTATGGACAATAATAGATGAAGTATAAACAGGAAGAGAGTCCAGGTTTGGGGAAATAATATAACTAGATCCAGAAGGGATACATTAGTGACATGTATGTAAGCATTAGTAAAAAGAATTATTTCATCATTTAGATTTTAATATTTATAATGTTGTTGTATTTCCTTCTTCAGACTATACCCTCATTTTAAACTTGTTATGATCTGGTTGATTGTGGTGTCAATTAATAGTATACCAATCCGTAGAGGTTTAGACATGAGTAGTTTAGGAAGAAGAAAAGAAAAGCTTCAGGGAAACATCACATTTGTATTTAGATTTATAAGATAAATGTTTGTTTAGAATAAGAAAATGAGTAGATTCACTTATGAAGTACAAATAGACAAACCAAACAATACCAGGCGAAGCAAAGAAAATGCAAATGGAATTATTAAAAAAAGAAATAAAAACTCAGACAATAGCAGCATACTCTCCCTTTCATCAAGGACACCTTGATTTGTGTAGCCACAATATATTTCCAGCGGTAAGTAACATTGAGTTAAAGTCTTAGATTCTACGTGTAAAGTCCCCATACTGCTGGATCACAGGCAACCCCTTCTCCCGAAGCAGCAGTTTACCTTTTGCAAGTTTTTTTTTTTTTTGTATCAGGTTAATCTATCTAGATTTCTGAGTTTACATAAATATTTTTGAGAATTTCCCATTAGGTCATTGGGTTAATGATCTAACACGACTTTAAAGAACTAGATCTTTGAAACCAAATTCAAAATATGTTTAAAAGAGCCAAAGCATTACTTTGACAATAAGTGGTTAAACATAGAATTCCTTTCATTATTACTGATATTTTTGAGGCAACATAGTACCTGAAGAAATAAAGGATGGGAAGAGAAATAGAAATATACTATTGGATTTGGTATATACCATTTTATTTTATTTGAGCTAATAAAGTGTTTCCTAATAAAGGTACTTTTAAATGTAAAATATGTTATTTTTTCTCAAAATTTCCTTACATATAACAGTCCTGTTTCTTTATTTGGTTAACATGCTTATTATTCCAGAAATAATCTAAACAATAACCTGGAAAGATAAAATACTATAAAGATGAAGAGGAAGGACTTTTTTAAAAGGGCAGAAAAAGAGTTAGCAGTGTAAATAAATCTGAGGGTAAGATTGATCCAAATAAATACATATATGAAAAATGATTCATAATTTTGTCTCCAAATTCTAAGAAACTATTGCAAAGAAAGAAGCATGATGAATTTCAGGATTATTCATGAATATCCATAAGGTGGACTTACAAAGAAGGAATACTAATTTGCACAAGAGAGTAAAAATAGTACTAATATTGAAGCAAAAATAAAACCAAATTTTCCCTACAGCTTTTCAGATTCAAAAGCAAAAGAAAATGTAGTTTTGCCCTACTGTCCACCTCCCCCAAGGAAAAAATATCCACTAGGGAAAACACAATGAAAATGTGTATCTTCATCTCTTCATTATAATGGGATATAAATAGGATTAAATTAAATAGGATATTAATTTAATTTAATATTTAATTAAATAGGATCTTAATACACATGATGTTTATTTACATTATATGTACATATACATATGTTAATACATGTAATGTATTATAGCAGTTGTTACCTTGCAAGGATGCTAGCCCAAGAATCTTACTTTTCAAGGAACTGGAAAATCTAGATATTTTTATAGGAAATCTTCAGATTTTTAAGAGGTCAATAGTATGTTTGCCAAATTAAACATACTGAGGGATAGATTCAATATATGAGCTGCCAGTCTTCAACTATTATTTTATAGAATATAGAAAAATCAATAGACTGTACCTTCCATTATTAAATATTTGGAATCACTGAGTGACAATTACCTGAAATACAACTTTTATACATGATTGAGCTCATACTGCAGGTTATAAAATTCAGCTGAGCCAAAGTTTGTATTTTGTTTTCAAGGAAGTTTAAGTAGTCAGTGAAAGAAAACAGCCATTTCACTGTTGCATGACAGCTGGCCTCCTCACCATGGAATCACTTTAGGTCTTGGAACTCCATTTGATTTGTCTCCTTTGTTCTTCCTGAATATTGAAATCACATAAGATTCTCAAATTACATTTAAAAAGACTCCAGGTTTGAAACTCACAATATCTTGTTTATGAGACCTGTCCCAGCATTCTTTACCAGTGTAGTAGTTAGGCTGTACTGCTAAGTAGTACACTCTGCAGATAACAATTAAATATGGTGGGAGTTTGCTGTATCACATTCCATATATATCTCTTGAATGTGCACAGACTGCACCATCTTTGTTGATTGTGTGTGTGGAAGCAAGTATTTTTGTTTATTTATTTTAGATTTTATTTGTCAGAGAGAGACTGTGCACAGGTAGGGGGAGTGGCAGAGGGAGAGGGAGAAGCAGACTCCCCACTGAGCAAGGAGCTCAATGTAGGACTCAATTCCATGACCCTGGGATTGTGACCTGAGCTGAAGGCAGAAGTTTAACCAACAGAGCCACCCAGGGATCCCCACAAGAATTTTGTTTAATCATGAAGACTCTATATACCCAAAGTCAGAATGATTTGCAAGACTAGAAAAGTAGAAAAAGTCTCTTTTTTGGAAGGAAGCCATCCTAAACCCAATGCCTTCGTTGTAAGTTGGGTGTGATGAGTAGAAGTGCTCTTTGCAGTTGTTACTTTTAAAAATTAGTCCTATAAGAGAGAGAATCTTAAGCAGGCTCCACACCCAGACTAATGCCAGATTCAATCTCCTAACTCTGAGATTCATGATCTGAATCAAAATCAAGAGTCAGATGCTAGCTGACTGAACCACTCTGGCACTCACAATCTCCATAGTTTTACCCTTTCCAGAATGTCATAGTTGGAGTCATATCTTATGTAGTGGTATCTTATGTAGTCTTATCTTACATAGCCTTTGTAGATTTCTTTCTTTCAGTTAGTAATTTGCATTTACTGTTCTTCCACGTCTCTTCATGGATTGATAGTGCATTTATTTTAGCACTATATGATAATCCATTGTTTGGATGTACCAGAGTTTATTTACCCATTCCTCTACAGAAGAATATCTTGGTTGCTTCTAAATTTTAGTATGAATAAAGGTATTATAAACAACAAAAAAATTAGTCCTATGGATTTTCTATGAATTGGAACAGGTATGTTCTATCCAATGAACTTTTTTATTCCTACTTCAGTAAGACTCATTTTATTTATTTTTGTTGCTGTTGTTACTGCTCTAGAAACACTTAAGAAGTAGAAATAAGTCTACTTTGTGCATCTCATGATACTGTATCACCTGACACAGTTTTTGAAAGTTTTTAAATTGAGAAAAATTCAAGAAGTGAATATTTATATCATAGAAAATAACAGGAAAAATAACAAAATTTTGTAGTTAAAATAATTACTTACAATCTTACTTATTTACTTACTTACTTACATTCCTGATATGCAATTCATTCCTCACAACAACCCTGTAGACTCTTTGCTTTCTAGGTAAACACACAGAGATCTAAAAAGATTAAGTAACTGCCTTGGTGATATAAATGATATTGTTAGCTTTGATCTCAAGTAAATTTAATCATAACTCATAACCACATGATTCCTACCAAACCAGCTTTAAGTAGTGGGTAATGCACCTGAAACTATTACAAATTGGTCATAATGAGATTAATTGCTATTATAGATGCAATGTAGATAAATTATTGAATATAGCTATATGAAATACTCAATAAGTTTATTAGATTAAAACTTCTATTTAGAAAAATACATAATAAAATCTATTTTACAACAGAATTTGGAGATACTGGTTAATATGACATTTCATAATATTAGATATTAATAAAAATTTAAAATACTGTTAATGATAGCCATATTCAGTTGTTATGCTGTAAAGCATCCATATCCCCAATATTTATGTTCCCTTATTCTTGCTTTTGCAAGAATTTAACCTGTAGAATTTAACCTATATTTTTGAGGTTTTGAGGAATACTATTAATTCAAACTGTGTGACTTATGAGTCGATAAGTTGAAATTGAATGTGTAGTACCTCATTAAATTCCTATATGTGCCAGTTCTCATTCTAGAATTCAAAACTTATGTCCTAAAGAATTTGCTTATTATCTGGAGTTTTTTGTTTGTTCTTTTACAAAAATTTGGACATTGTTCTTCAAAGATATTGTTAACCAGAAAGCACTTATGATTTTTTGGTTATTTATCTCTTACTAGTCTGAAAGAAGTTGTCTAAAGGAATGTCAAAAGACCAACCAAAGTCTAAACATTTAGTGTAGAATGAATGTGAAATCTCTTTTTTATGCCATGGCAAAAAGCCCTTTAGAGATCTCATTCTTGAGTTTCAAATACAAATCACAATAGAGTATCTACATATCTTCCTTTTTCCTGATGTATGTGGCACTTTCAGGAATTCTGTGGGCGGGAAGAAACATATTTTCTTCTAATCATTAACATTTCTAAAATGAATTTGCAAATATCAGACAGTATTATAGCTATTAAACAACTAAAGTGAAAATACATTCTCTCTGGCAGCATAGTAATGCCTGAAAAGAAAAAGAAAGTGAAAAAATTATCATCAAGTAAAATAATAATTTCTTTCCTATCCTTCCCCCTCTGCCTCTCCCTCCCTCATTTCAATTTAAGAGATTCGTTCTCCTGCTGGTTGTAACGGGAATGAATTTCAGTGCCATCCTGATGGAAATTGCATTCCTGATCTGTGGCGCTGTGATGGGGAAAAAGATTGTGAAGATGGTAGCGATGAAAAAGGCTGCAATGGGACATTACGACTGTGTGATCATAAAACCAAGTTTTCCTGTCGGAGTACAGGTACGTTGGTTCAGCTTCTACCTTGGGCTTCCTAGAGCTATAATCCTTTGGCCAACTTCAGTGTATATCTTACCTGCATAAAAAGGGTTCCTGTGTTTCTAGTATGTTTGTTTACATTATATGTGTGATAATAATACTAGCTGATACTTACAGAGAACTATCTATGGGCCCAAAACAGCTCTTAGGAATGTTTTTGCCATGAACTCATTTCATCATCCTAACTCACAGTGAAAAAAACTGAAGCCCAGAAGAGTTTTTAACATGCTCAAGTTAAAAAAAGTCAAAAGAGCCTCATGGCAGAATTGAGATTTGAAACCGTGTAATCCAGATTCAAAGTCTGGAATTTCAGACTTCTGAAAGAGATAATTGTGCTTAATACACAGACAACATTCCTCTTTCCACAGATAAATCCTCACCCTAAAATTTCATGAAGATGAATGGGATGAAAAGGCAGAATTATATACATTTATTTTCAAGTACAGTAGATTCCTAAATTTAATCATGCTGTTGCTAGATTTCATTAAGATAAAGATGATGACTGTCTTTCAAACCTTTGAATTGTTTTGAAAGTCACGAGGCTTCTATTTTTTATGATGTTATTCTATTATTCTATTATGTCTATTATTCTATTATGTCTGGTCCATTTTGTTTTTCTACGTAGAGTAGGTTCTATCTGACATAATAAACCAACTTGTTTATTTTCCTCTCAATACCACATGATGAGTTGAAGTTTAGAGAAAAATATATTACAATAACTATAGTAGTATAATTTTTGAAATGGATTATATCATTCACCAAATAATCCATTGAAACAATCCCTATAGATTTCAGGATATATTATGGAATCATCTCTGGGATGTGGTGAAATTGCTCTTTGAATTGCCTAATATCTGGTGATTCATTTTGCTCCTTATTAAGTATGTCAACCAAAACATAGAAATGAAAAGTTATCACAGCTGTGATTAAGCAAACACACTGGAAATCACATGGCCCATGGACATCTAAAGATATAAAAAGAAATTGTGTTTCTTTATTTGGACACACTTCCTGTTTATAATTAAGCATTTAACTAAGAAATAAAGAGATAAATATAAGCTAACATAGGCATAGAGAAATAAACACTCCTGAGGATCATTCTTTATGTTTTCAAAATGGTTATTTTGTAACAATAGTTTTCACAATCATGTGACGCTTTTCAATTGTTACATTAAGTGTCTTAGTTTTGGGGTTATTGATTTAAAAATGTGACTTTAAATTTAGAAATTATCTTTTTGGAACATACTATATTGATTAAAACTTAATAGATAATAACATGATAAATAATAATGAAGGGAGGAAAAAATTTTTCTATACCCACATCAGATTCATTGACTGGGGCCCTTAAAATTAGACAGAAAATAGATAGTTTAATTAAAAAAGGGGGGGAGAAAAAGCAAGTTTATATATACATGCATCTTACATGCATGTGGGAAAACTCAGTGATGAGTAACTCCAGGGGCTGGTTAGAACTTGGGCTTATAGAATCTTAGCAATAATAGTAAATTTGTGGAAAGGTGACCAAAGAACAGAAAAGAACTTAAAGTTTGTAGGGATGGGAAGTTGTAGGCAGATGAATATATCTGAGAACTAATGGAAGATAAGGGCTAGTTAATAAAATGTGTGCAGGTCCATCTAGGAACTGATTTTTTATTTTCTTCATGGCCATACAATTTCCCTAAAAAAGGATTTATGGAAGACCTCATTTCTCAGAAGTTTTATGCTTATAGTCATATAAGGGAAGCTATAGGAAGGCTTCTTTCTACATCTTTTGAACTTCATATGCTTTCAGCTCAAAATAATACTTATGTAAAAATAGCATATTTGTGGGTAGTGTACTTTGACCCCATACACTGGGTATCTTTGGAGAATTGGATTCTGAGAGATAATTTTATGTGTATTTATTGGGATTTGGATTATCCATGTAATAATGTTTTTAATGAAACATCACGTGTATGTATCAAGTAATCATCAGGTTAATCAAAACTTTCAGAAGTGAAATCAAATTTATGTTGCATTATCAAAGGGAAATACAGTATAACATGGTGACTATAGTTGATAAAACTGTATTATGCAACTGAAATTTGCTAAAAGAGGAGAATTTAAGTGCTCTCTCACACACACACAAATAATAAATAAATAAAAATTAAAAATTGGGGCACCTGGGTGGCTCAGTTGGATAAACATCTGGCTTTGGCTCAGGTCATGATCTCAGTCAGGGTCCTGGGATCAAGCCTGGCATTGAGATCCTTGCTCAGCAGGAAGTCTGCTTCTCTATCTCCCTTTGCCTGCCACTCCCACAGTTTGCACTCACTCTCCTTCTCTGTCAAATAAATAAATAAATAAATAAATAAATAAATAAATAAATGCAAAATGAGAAATGTAATAATTTAACCCTCAATCTGATTCTAATTTGATCTGTGGCTTCAATATAGTAAACCATAATGTATCAAATATTTGAGGAGTCATAACTCATAATTACATATGAATATTTACAAACATTTCAGGTATTAAAGAGAACCTTAAATATAAATATTGGATTAAATATATGTATATGTTTATGATGTTTTTGATATTTTAAATTTTACTTTAATTAAATTTTGGCCTTAAAAGCTTAAAAACCTTTAAACTACTCAAGATGCTAAATTCAGTGTTCATATTTATTTTTCAAAGACTTCCAAATGCTAGCTTAAACATTTAAAAATTTTCAGGGTAATCAGTTCACATTAGGTGGTCACAATGGCTTTTCCTTTATACGTAAATTGCTATCTATCAGAGTAAAAGTGTAGGCACAATAATAAGTTACTTTATTCCTGCAAAGAATAGAATGTGACCTAAATTAAAACTATAATACAATCATCAATATTTAGGAGCTAATTAATTAATTAATTAAAATAAATATTTAAGAGTTTCTAATTTCAAAGGACCTATCTTTGACCAAAAACTATACTCTCTCATACCTGGTCCCTTACTTCCAACCAACGAGATGCAGTTATATTATTGATGAGGAATCAGGGAGAGAAATTTTATGTCTGCCTCTCATGGAAAAGAAACTCACAGCTACATTCTTCATATTGGACAAAAGAAAATAATATTGATATTATATAATGATGGCAAGATTATGGGGAAAAGAGGCCCTCCACCTGCTGGTAAGAATATAAATTTGGTTCAAACTTTTCATTTCTAGAAATTCATGTAAAGAACAGCAGGAGTACATGAAGATATCTACTGAAAGATTTTCAGTGCAACATTTTGTTTTAAAGGTCCCCAAAGTAGAAATCATTCATTGTCCACGTTTAGGGGAACTACTTAATACTTGAGTGCATTCACACAATGAACTAGTCTAATGTCATTGAAAAGGCATAAGAAAAAATTCATAAAGATGGAATTTTAAATTCAAACTTTGAATCCTTTCTCTGATGTGAAAAACACATAAAAATGGTAAAAAAAATATAACAGGAGAAAATGAGAGAGATATGGTCATATTGACCAACAAAATATATCTCTGATGAACTGAAGTAAATGGAATAACAAATGGTGGAGCTGGGTTGAACCTGGATGCCTGATTGGATTAGATTTGGAGATGAGTAGAGATGAACAGGTGTTCAGATCTTAGGTTTAATGGGAAATAAAGCTATCCCACATGAAATTGGGGACTGGAACCAGGCACACTGCTGAAAATCAGACACTGGAATTGGACTCATTTGCTCTTAAAAAGAGGGGATTAAGAGGGACATGTATTGCATGGAGCACTGGGTGTGCTGCATAAACAATCTTGGAACACTGAAAAAATAAAATTGAGTTAAAAAGAAAAAAAAGAGGGGAAAAAATTACTGCTGGTTGCTTCCTAGGATGGTTACTTCAATGAAGTAGCATACCTAGATAGACTGAATAATGTAGGCATGGCAATCATGTCAAGCCTCTGGCTAGCTTAAGGACTGAAAGTGATAAGACAAATACATGATGTATTTTTGAACCAAGAGTGGGCGTAGTGATGGAGTGGGCTGAACTAGAAGAAGCAAAACCTGTACACAGTGATGAGTAAAAACATAAAGTCAGAGAGAAAATTGAAAACTCCTATTCAAGATAAGATTGAAGAGAAATTTCTAAAATCCATGAAGATAACCATCTCTAGTAAAACAAGCCATCAAAAATCAATCATAAAATGAATTTACTCAAGATTGAGTGAAAATGAGATGTTTATATGACCAATCTAAAAAAAAAAAAAAGAAAAGAAATGTTTGGGATCCTCAAAGATAAAAAATGGAAAAGAATATCCCTAAATTGAACAAGAATATATATGGATATATATATATTCTTGTTCAATTTAGGGATATTCATATATAGATATAGATATAGATATAAGTAGAAAAATTATAATAGAAAATGGTGGAAAATGATAAATATTAGACTTGAGAATGAAATACACCAACATGGAACTTTAAATAGAGAAAACAAATTTGAAAATAATAATATACAGTTTATTCAGAAACATCATGGAAAAAGAAAAGAGAAATAAAAAAAAAAGGGCAGTTAAGATCTATGTTGTAAAGCTACAGCAGAAACTTCAAGAAATTCCATGAGGGAATAGAAAATAAATACATAGGATAACTAAGTGGCTGAAAAAGCTAAGATTTCCCTAAATTGAAGAACCTGATTCCTCATAAATAAGTAAATTAATTCTTTTATTAAAGTAGTGTATCACATTGATTGATTTGCGAATGTTGATCCAACCTTGCAGCCGAGGAATAAATGCCACTTGGTTGGGGTAAATAATCCTTTTAATGTACTGTTGGATCCTATTGGCTAGTATTTTGGTGAGAATTTTTGAGTCCATGTTCAGCAGGATATTGGTCTGTAGTTCTCCTTTTTGATGGGGTCTTTGTCTGGTTTTGGAATCAAGAGATTGCTGGCATCATAAAATGACTTTGGAAGTTTTCCTTCCATTTGTATTTTTTGGAACA